ATATACTTTTTCTTTAATAGAAATTGCTGTTTGTTCTGAACAGCTTGGTGAAACCTATCCTTAGCCCCTTTATTTTTCCTTCCCCTAGCCTGGTTCTCTTCCTTTTTCAGGATTAGAAAAAAAGTGGCTTTATCATAGAGAGATATGTTTTCTCCAAATCATTTTTTTTTTCATAAAGATTTATTTGTGCATACAGAACTGGGGTACAGGCCAGAGGCTCAGGGGCGGCGAGAGGCTTCACCAGAGACAGAGTGGGGAGCAGAACAGGCAGATGGACGAAGTACACTGCTGAGGGGAGCAGTGGGCGGGTCAGGAGAGGTCTGCCACGCCATGTGGTCACCTCCGGGGCAGGCAGGAATCGAACTCATGCGGAAGCGGCTTTAGATTCTCAGTGCAGTGCTTTAACCCGCTGCGCCACCAGGGAGGGCCCCAAATCATTTTTTTTTTTTTAAGATTGATTGATTGATTGATTGAAGAACTGGGTGTACCAGAGATGTGATGTGTGAGAACATTCATCAGAGACAAGAGTGGGGAGCAGAAAAGGCAGATCTACTGAAGTATACTGCTAAGGGGAGTGGCGGGTGAGATAGGAGAGGTCCCCTATGCCATGTGGGTCAGCTCCGGTCAGCTCCCTGCCCTGGTCAGCTCCCTGCCCTGGTGTCAACTCAGGCCGTAGTAGTGATAGCACTGAGACTTAACCCCCACACCATATAAAGGAAGCTTATATTTCTGTTTTAAATCTGGACTGCAGATTTGAATCATTTTCTTTTTTTTCTGATTCCCTGAAATAATGGCTAACCTACCACCTGGTTTAGTTACAAGAAGAAAAGGTTGAAGGGCAAGAGTTTCAGAAAGCCTCTTTGTAACATATAAAAATGTTATCCTATTTCTTTGTGCTACCTTAAGGCCACTAGACCTTGCTATTTTTGCATTTCTAATTCAGTTTTTAACACATTATTATGTCTCTATAAGGTTTGACTATTTAAAGGTCTAATAGATATAAGTTCTGTTTTATGACACTTGTTATACTATTTGTAGGGGTTGATGAATACTGGTTACCTTCAGAAATAAACTTGGTTTAATTCTGTATCTTCTCTCTTCAAAACCAGAAGGAGAAGTGTTGCTTTCTACACATATGGTTGCAAGAGCCAGCCATTTACACACTTTCTCCAGTTGGTGCCAAATACTAGCACAGTTTGAATAACTTGTTTGGTTATGGCCGCAGGAAAGAAAATCTTACTCACTCAGTAAAGACATAAGTTTGGATTGTAATACTCAAAAAAGGGGTGATGGTAGCTAAAAATTGGCTCAGATATCAGGAAACTAGGAGAAGGGGTCAGGGTAGAAGTGGGGCTTTGTTTGCACCGAGTTTTAGAATGCTAAGTAACTTTTGTGCAGGATTTTTTTTGGAGATGAGCTGAATATCATTTATTAGTTTTTTTAAATTTTTTTTTTTTTTT